TGTTTTCATTCATATCATTAGGAATATTTATACGTCAGTTAACGTATCTAACACTAAACATCATTGTTTCTATTGGCAGTAAGGTGTAAGATGGTGAACTTTTCTGTCAGGTCACAGTCTTCTTTTTAACCATTTTGCAGGCAGAGAGGAGACTGAGAAGGCTGTCAATAATACGTTATATCTTATTTTATTTTATTTTATTTTACTAGGATTTTAGTACAACTTTGATTTTGTTTTATAAACTATTAACTATTAAAAATTAAAATAATACTTTTCCACTTGACATTGAGTTGCGATAGATACAGTGATTTAGTTCCCTGGTTGTGAAAGTAAAATGTCCTGAAACGTAGGGAACCAATTTTGTTGTGGAAATTATCATCTCGTTAGCATGAAAATTCAATAAAACACCACGTAAGGAAGATAAAACGCAAGGTCATTCTAGAACAGGAACGAAAAATACGAACTCTGAAGAAGCATTTCATTAAAATGAAACTGTATGCTTCTAAAATGAAATATGAGATGTTATTCGAGAAATCTATATATAACCATTCCGATAACCAACTCCCCATAGACGCTGAATGAGAACTAAAGTAATGATCCGAACAATATAATAAAAATGTCATAATTTATTTTCATAGTATTGCAATCCATTGTTAGCAATATTACGTCTTCTGGGCAGAAGTAAGCATGCGAGTAACCTCGTAACATTACCAACGAATGATATCTAGTCTCATATTTTCGATTGAATGTTAGTTTGGTAGTTCCATCAAACTACCAACTACTATAAGTTCATCTTCATATGATTGTCTCTTGTTGGCTGTGTGCTGTGTCAGGCCAACTGCCTGCCACCAAACAAGGGATGTGACATCTCTAAGAAAAATGTTTTGAAACATCATGTTTAAAAAAAATGCTGATTATTGATGCTAATAATACATTGCCCGAAAACCAACGATGTTTTTAAATATCAATGCCTTCAAAAGTAGTTTAGTAACGTATGTTAATACTGTTGGGGTGGGGAGTAGAACTTAATCTGACCGTGGGAAAGTTAATTTATAATTAATATTGACAAAATAATTTGATAAAGTATTAAAAATTAACAAACCTGGCTATCAGATTGAATTTTGCGAAAACAGCAGGCTACAAATCAGTCGACTTAAATTTCACACTACGAGTCTTTACTGGGGAAAATGTTCAATTTACCGAGGCGTATAAATTAATAGTGTTAGGGTATTACAAAGTTATATCAACATTAACACTGTTTATCTTTACTTTATTCACCTCCTATTATTTAAAGATAAGAAGAACTATGTAAAATAAAACTATTATTATTTATTTTATTTTTTAACGTTTTATATATGCGACATTATTTTCAATACAAACTAAATTGTCATCACATAAAATCCTGTAGTGACAGACCGGTACCCGATGGTATACAGAGATTACTCTAAAAAGGGTTGTATTGACTTTTGGTTGGCTACTGCTGGCAAGATACTCGTATGAGTAGGTTATGTGCAAGCGGTGAATTTGTTAATGCGTTCGTTTGACGTTGACTAACATGCAGATGTCTTTTTGACTACATTTTGCACTACCATCTTCCAACAAGAGATTAATTTGTTTTTCGACCTGTCTAACGGGTCTCTTCTTAGAGTCCTCTATATCAAGTGTTTGTATAACGTGTGTTGCGGGTTGCATGCGGGTCGATTTTCTTTGAAATTCTGCATTTTACTTTCCGCTATATGTACGTATATACGGAGTAATAGTCTTAGTATATGGGAAGCTATGTAATGCTGAGGAAAATGAATTTCGAGATTTCAACGGAAATACACGTTTTGGGGTCCCCTGATACCAAAAATATCCGTCAAAATGTTTTTTTCCAAATCGTCCGCCCGTGTGTTCGTCCAGCCGTCTGTCTGATGTATGTGAACACCACTAGGGCCAAAACCGTATGCTTTTTTTCCAAATTGAAGAAATCCATGGCTATTTGGACTGAGTCGAAGCACTGTGATTTTGAAAATCACTCATTAGTTTTTGGGGGTACTTTATGTGAAGCACCTGGGACATTTTCAAAATTTTCTCAAAAATGGCTCGAACTTTTTTTTCTTGAGAATTTATACAGGTGGTATATGTCCAATTTTCACGGTTAACCCTGAATTTTCGCAAATTACAGAAAATTGAATTTTTTCTGGGTCTTCTACAATTACAAAATATAACGGTAATGGTTTTTTTCTTTCAAATAAAATTTTTTGACCATTATTTTAAAAATTTTAGAAGGTTTTGGCACAATATTCGAGCAATTTGCGCATTTTAAAAAATTAAAAAACAAGATTTTCTCCAAAACGCTCAAAATTTTTATTTTGTCTTTATTATTATAATTATATAATAATAAATAAAATTATAAAATTTATAACTTTAACAAAACTATTATTTAATTTTAAAAATATTTAACAAAAATATATTGTTAGGATACATAGTAAATGCACTACTATAGAACAACAAAAAACCCCATTTTTGCTTTATTCTTTGTGTAAAAAAAATACAAAAATGTAATTTTTTTGAATCTTGTGTTCCACGTCTTAATGTGTTACAGTCTTGTGCATTACAAAATTTCTTGTGCCATAATGCTACATTAATGTATTTATGAAGTACAATGTGCTTTAAATAATGAAAGATAAAAATCCGAAACTTAAACAGTTTTCCGTAAAATGAGCTCAAAATGCGGATTCTCTGTAAACTGTTAAACGTCCATTTTCTCGAAGCGACTCTAAATCTTTTCCTTCAAACTTTGTCCAAGTATATGCCAAATTATAACGTTTTAAGATGATGATAGAATTAATTTTTGCTGTATGTCATTTGTTTTTTCAAATATATTATTAAATGTAATGTTCTTGAAGAGCTCTCCACGCTATAACATTCACATTTCCAGGATTGTTGTAAATCCAATTTGTATTATGATGTAAACTACTTGGAATGGTGGCAAAATGAAATTTTTCCAAACTGCAAACGTTTCTTATAAAAAGAGTTCAAATTTCTGCATTCACAGTAACGCTTAAACACCTCTTTCTTAAAAAATGGCTCGTAGATTTTTTCAAAGAAAATTGTATTATAGGACGAGCGTTTTATGGTTCTTTTTTAATTGTCTTAAATATTGTTCTTTATTCTAAATAGCTTGTTAATATTTTAAAAATAATATTTCTGGTTAACTAGTGTCTGTTAGGAAGCCCAAAAATAAGAAAATTAAAAAAAATGTATTATGGTGCCGATACGAGCAGCAGGCAAGAGTATGTGCGAAGTCTGAATAGCTAAGCCAAAGAAATGCATATTAGAAAACTAGTACGGGAAAGTCTCTGCATTCTGTAGCACACTTGCTGCCTCTTATTGCGTCTTGAAAGCATTCATGTAGGAATATACTGTCTATCCGAGTATAAGCCATTTTCGGAACTTTTGTGGGTGATAAGTTTATAAATCGTAAAAAACACGTGATCATTCTTTTGTGTATTATAAGTGGAGCAAGGATGCCGGTTTAAGGAAGCTAACAAATTGAATTTAATTAAGTAATTAAGAGAATCATTACGCAGGAAAATACCTACGTAAGAAAAAGCAATATGAATAATTGATTTAAATAAGGTAACGAAGTGGAAGGGGAAATAATGACGTAAGAAGAAACTGAAAAATGTAGGAAGACAAACTAGTTTTTGAATCGAAAGTGGACTAGAAACGTCTAAAGACTAATGCCCGATGGAATATGAGTGTCAATATTCTTCTTAGAATGGTTAAACCCCCCTGGTGAATATTTTATGGGAATTGGAAATTAAAACGGGGGTTTACAAATGAATGAAAATTGCGATGGACGCATGGTATGCGATTCCGCAGTTTAATTGTTCAATTTTTGGTCATAACCTTTTCCCTGTCTACAATAAATTAAAGTGGAAAACCATCATAATCAAGCGTTTAATAGAACTACAGAAGGAGCAAGAAAGAGAGTTAATGTAGTAAAATGTATTTTACTTTCAAGAGAAAAAGTGGCGGTAAATGAGGTTGCGGCGTTTTATGGTCGAGTGCAAGACAGTGGATAAAAATTTGGGGGGGAAAATTTAAAGGGGAAAATGAATAGAGATTTTGCTGCCTTGATATAATTAGTAAAAGTTATTTAGTCTTCAATTTATAAAGATTTGCAATTTTGCAAAAGATATGTGTTTGAAAAAGCTCAAAATTGCTCAAAAATTCGCAGAACTTTGTTTTTCGGCAGAAGCTGCAAGCTTGAGGATGATCTTAACGGCGATGCGAAATGATATAAGGTTGATTAAAATATTGATAGCTGACAATATCTTTATTTATTTATTTATCATAATAAAAAGGTATCTACTTCACCAACAATCCAATTAAAAATGCAATTTCGTTTTAGGTAAAAGATTTTTATATTTAGTGTATTTTAATATTACATATAATAACTTATTTTTGATATTTATTACATCTCCCTGTTTTTATTACACATTAATGTACATATTTCGCCGATTCATACTATATTTTTGTGGTCTCTACTGGTGGGCTTGCGAATTCATCCTCGCCAGGCGCAAGTCTGCGTAGGCTGTTCGGCCGGTGGAGTCGCGTGGGCGTGAAGGCGGCGCGCGAATCGAAGCTGCGCAGCGCGTGGGCGGCGCGGGGCGAGCCCGGCACTGGAGAGGCGTCAGGTGCGGAGGCGGCCACGACAGTGCGAGGGCGCGCAGCGGACCGAATAGAGGGCTCCGCGCCGAAGGCGGCCCGCCGCGCTAACACTCTGGCAACAACATGGGGAGCAACGGATGGAAATGAATGAACTCCAGGGCCAAATATAATGCGTTTTGAAGTGGTCATGCCATGGAGATAAGCATTTGACAATTTTATTCGTCATTTTTACAAGAATTGAATATTCTTTGATGCTGAATATCTTTAGAGTGCGATCAGAAAGGATGGTTGGAGCATAAGTCATGGCAACAATGTTTTTTAAATTGTTTTTATACGAGCACGGGTGGAAAATCTGAAATATACTCGTACACATGATAAACCAAGGAATGAAGTAAGTGAATGACGTTTAAGAACACACCAAAATTGTGTTTATCATATTTATTAAAGTATTTGAAATGACAGTACTGGTGTCATGTTCCAAAGCTTTTTGGCATTTAAAGGTTCACAAGTTTCCAAAAGCATCACATGCCCGTTCTAAAGGCCAGCTGCTCGATACCGCACGTGACACAGGTCGTGACTTGCCTTTCTGATCACTGGTTGCACAAACTCTCCTGCACATCTCGCGATTGTCCCGCATTGGACCACTCGAGTTTTCAGTATACTAACAGGTTTCTAGTCCCGATGACTCGAGCTCTAAAAACACATGCTCGATGCATGTCATCCAGGTTTTCGCTAGATTGCACAGTTGAAGCTATTCTTAAACTGCGACCGGAGACAGGGATTCGACTTTTCGAATTGGAAATATGAAGAAATCCGGAAGTATTGTCTTATTTTATTTATTATTCAATCTTAAATAGAGAATTTATTTTCCAAAAAAGAGACAAAGTACACTCATTGGTTTGCAAACACAAATTTGGTATGAAATAGAACAGTAAATATAACAAATTACAGAAAAAAACACCATGCACATCAATCAATAAAACAAACACTCATAAAAGATAAACATTCAAAAAGCATACCGAGAAGTCGCTGATGATGTTTCTTTTAACATTCAAAGATATGATATTGCTTTTCAAGTTCAGTGCGTTGCATAGCTGTTAATATATTTGCACGTCGTCTAATCAATAATGTAAAATTGCAACAAAGCACTCATATTTCTTAACTTAAGATTGGAATTATTCACTCTTCTTTAATTAATGTCGAGATTATTTCTATATTAGTATAGTAAACATGTTTATTAACCTCTTTTCAAGCTTCAGTTTTACGTACCTGGAACGTTCGTACAACGTTCATATTAAAGAACGTGTAACAGCAGTCTTGCTTCGGGGAGAACTTTGACGTCCGTTGTAAAAATGGCCGGGTCTTTCAATATTCTACGTTGAATGCGCATATTAGTTTTAAAACTTGGTTTGTAAACGGTTTACAGTTTGAAACAGGCCGCGCCTCTGGAAACTCACTTCATTAATTAATCAGCAGTTAAAATCGCATCGGTTATTTTTAAACCCGCAAGTTACTCTCTTTTTTATTTTCACTTTTTCCGAGAAAAGAGAAGCTGCAAGATAGAAGCATCGCTCCGTGTGTAGATGACGTAAATCAGATGAATAGTATGGCCGTGAGGACTCTGCAAATTTTGAAACTTTGGTTTTGAAACTCTGTAAATCATTGACTAGCGGGGTATATTTGGCCCTAGGTATGTATATTTACAGTGTCCATGAAAGATATCACCTACAGAGATTTGGATTGGTTAAAAGGGGATATTCAATAGTGAAATATTTCTATGTACTATCATAGAAACTCCTGTTTCAGCCGTATGAATCATGTTTGATGTAGATGCACATTGTAATTTCACATAATATTGTAATAAATGTGTCAAATTACAAATTGAACCTGGAATTTGTATTTATTTTCGTGTTTAGGTAAAATAATTCCTGATTAGTTTTTGAAATTCCGTAAGTCATAAACGTTTAAGTAAGTCCAGGGACTATTGTACTATTGGTACAAATAAATTGCATGTCTCCATAGCAACCTGAGTCAAGATTTATGCATCAGAAATTTAAAAAATAAATCTTTGTACTTAATTATTCAGTTTTTGTTGTTTTCCCCACAACTTTACAATTCCTGACTTGCGAAAATAACTGATTCAATCGTCACAATACTAGGAAAGTTTCTTCCCAGTGACATATGAAGAAGTTGTATCTTTATTGACAGCTCCCGAAGGCCGAGCAAGGCAGTGAGGTGCCTCGGGGCGGCGGGCATAGCGCACGTGGTCTCTAGGCCGCCGTGCGTTGCGTGTTGTATGAATGGATGGCGGCGGCGGCGTGGCGTGGAGCGGAGCGAAGCGGCGAGGCGAGGTGCGCGTTTTTGCGACGGGAAGATGATTAAGGTGCAAACAAGCATGAAACACGATGAAATGCGCACTGCTCAAGGCTGCGGTATGTTGGCGGCATTGTATTAAGACCGTTTAAACGCAGTGACATTTCTGTGGTAATTGGTGGTTTTGTAACGCTCGGTTTATGCTGCGGAGTGCAAGTATTTTTCTACATAATTTCTTTAGGGTAATAAATAATTAGTGTGAAGAGGCTTTAGTTGATAACTACAAGCGCATTGATTTACTGTTTCAGGATAAAAAGTTTGTGTGAGTGACAGCATTAAGAAATGTACTCTTTCAAAGAACTTTATTGCGGTAATCCGTAAGAAATATTCACGTACTTCCAAAATAACAAAACCTGGGCATATTTTTTCTCGCATATTTTTACTAAATGTTAATGGAAATTAAATAATCAGGAATTTCATCTGGTGATGGAATGGGGGGACATGGAAAGTACCATGATGGCTGAGAAGAGGTTCCTATAAAACTTCGCAAGATCAAAATAGGTTTACAAGTACTTATAACACTATTATTTAATACGTAATATTTTATTGTAAGTTGTATTACATTGACATCAAATTTAATATTATATTATCTAACTTAAGTTAACAATTTCTAGCAACTTCAATACTTTAGTACACCCTTGATATTTGATTTCCTCAACTGGTTCGAGTAAATACATTTCTTTAGTAACAGGTACACAAACATCGAAAATAGTATTTGATACGAAATTTTAGATTTCTGCACCTGCGATAATGCACATTCAAGAGAACTAGAGACGGCTTTCATATGCTCGTTGTTGATTACACGAGATATTTGTTTCATGGAATTGCAGAATCCTAGATCTTATGTTTGTAGAATGAAGTACAAAAAAACTAAAAGTAACTCTTGTATACTCTTGAATGGAAATCTGTTGTTTGTCGGTGAATTACAAATGAAGTAATTTTGGACCCATCAACTATTTTTCGTTGGAATTTTTAACTGTAGTTTGGAAAAGATTTGGCCTCAACGTTTATTGCATGAAAATAGACGTAAGCTGATATTGTCCGTGTGACATACGAGTATGTTCACGTAAGGGGATATTATATTTATGACATGTCAAATATTGAAACCTAATATGAGCCCATTTTATTATTATTATTATTATTATTATTATTATTATTATTATTATTATTATTATTATTATTATTGTTGTTGTTGTTATTATTAATTAAAGTTATTCATTAATGTTGTTAGGGATATGTACACCATGCCACATACATTCGTTACCTTTCAGTGTTTCACTTTTTCCAATAATTTTCTCATTTATGCGGATATTTGTAATGTAAAACACCAGCAATGCCGTTTTTAGTTTTTACTTAAAATTATTTTGAAGAACTTTCAATATATTATCGTAGAGGTAATAATAATAATAATAATTTTACTATCTTTTCATCTATATTATTACTTAAAGTTTTAAACATTTCTTGGCGTTCACATTTCAAGATCTGCGAGTTACTTATCTCCTAACCTCACCCCATGGAAAGTGATTTCCTAAACTTTTGTCGGGTTGCGGTAATTAAAAAGTTTAAGTGAAGCGTCACACCGTAAGGAGGCGGCTGGGTAGAAGAATGCTGGTCTGCGTTGACAGTCTTGGTCATCGCCTCCACAATTTGCTCTCCGTTCCCTGAGCCACCATATCCCTCGGCCTCCTGGATGCCGTCACGCGATTAATTACTCCGCTGGCTGGCTGGCTGCACTGGCGTCGCGGCATCGAGCACTGTATCACCGGGCCCTTTAATAGACGTTCCGTGTTTGCTCGCGGGCAGCGGCGGGGCAGAATTAATCTCGCTTCGAAGATATACTTTATTATTTCTGCTTCTGCTAAGTGGCGACGCGGCGCAGCCGGCATTCCGCGGCATTCCACGGCATTCCCCGCCGGTTCGGCGCGTAATAAATGGCCGCGAGCGGTGTCCAATTGGTCTGCCGCCACGCCGCACACGCGCCCACGGCCGAAATGGGTCGAAAGGCGACGGACGAACGAAATTAAAAAATGGTTTTGACTGAATTTTTCCCCCCTGTTTGCTATTGTTATTATTCTAGAAAGTGTAGTGAAGGTTTTATTACTAGCGGTGCCAGTGGGTCTCCCTCGGATGGCGAGATCCGACGCCGACGTACACGTCGTTGGCTTGCTGAGTTTTCTCTAACAAGGTATCTCCCACAAACGGAGCACTGCTCCAGACGGGACAAACTCAAAGCTTCCGACTGTTCTCTTGGGATGTGGGTTAGTGCATATAAATGAGTGTATGCTTAAATGAAGCCTCTGAGCTAAATTCAAATCGTCTGTTTCGTCGCCCAAGAAGTACCTCCTTTCCCCGCTAGTTGGTGAAAGGTGCGTAGCGAAATTTGCGTGGTCAGACGGAAGAGCAGCCCTCATGGCTTGAGTCACGCCTCAGAAAATAAGGCATAAATTCAATTCAATTATAAGTAAGGAAAAATTCGATCTAGCTAGTATAGAAATCCTGCCACAGTCGGGACTAGAACGCAGAACCTCCCTGTCAGTCGCATTGCAGTGATATCAGTTGATACTCTGAGACAGATCAACCGAAAAAAAAGGAACTTGGAAATTGGAAGCGGTTTTCTTGTTGTCCTATGTGAGATGAGATTTTTGCGTAAATAAATAAAATGCCAAAAAATTAATAATGAAATGTATACAAATGAGAGCAATCTATTTCCGTCGGAAAGTAAGCGTCTAAAGAGATTAGTTAAGTATTGATGATATAGGGAATAAATGAAAACTGTATTCAATGAAGAATAGGATATAATGTAAATATAACTGAAAACAATGTTTTGACGTAATAAACAATTCCAGGTCATCCAAAAAAATTGTGTAAGTAGACCTGGAGAATGACAGCAAATCTACCCATTATAATGAAGGAGAAAACATAGAACGTTAATTTTGTGAAATGGTATTCAAACTACAGTTATTTGCGATTTAAAACATTATTATTAAAAAACCATTAATAGGTATAATAAAAAAGTTAAAAGGCAGTGTACTACTTCATAAAACTATAAAAACGCGAGAGACGTGAGACGTTTGTACACTCTA